GAAATTGCAATCTGTAGTTTCCAGTAAACGATCGGCAAAATGAAACAGAAAAGTAAAGAAGAACTTCTTGAAAAGCCTCATCTGTGACACTGAAAACTGCCGTGGTTAAGGACTACTGCTCACTGACTCATTGTTCTTTCCGAACCATCGCACTCTACGCTTTTGTGCATATCTCTTGCTGCCAATGGCAATTTCCATTTCCATACTATTTTCCACTACTTCCGTGCCCTCTTCTCTCTCCCTCTCTCTCCTACCCACTACCTCGGTCCACTGGGTCTCTTTGGCTGTTCAAAATTTTGTCGACAGTTTGACAGAACCATATAACCGATGAATTTCGTGATGTGTTTCACTGTTATGTTGTCGGCATTCCTTGGGTGTTGGTTGACGGAAAGAAGAGTTTATATGCATAAAACAGCAAACAATTTATTCTAAACTACCATCAGTATGTACTTTTAGGTACTGTTATCCTTAGCCTTCTGTTCTTGCCCTTTTTTATCATTAGTTTATCGCAGGGTGAAAAGGAAGAACATATAATTTCTAAAAATTGTCTTTTGTCCAGGTTCTGACGTTGTCTGCAGTACCCGTACCAATTAACTGTTTGCAATGTATTGTCAAACAGTGTCCAAATGTAAATTTTAAACGGCCGAAAGAGGCTACTTTTGAAACTATTTGTTTATTTACTCACTTTTTAAGCTTCCTTTTCTTCTTTACTTTTTCTTTTTGCACACCAATATCTATTTCCGTGTTCTCCAAATTATTACTGTACTTAAAATGACTGAAAAGGCATTATAATTAGGTTTTTTACAACAAATAACAGCTTAATTAACAGATAGTTGAAGAAAGGCTGGAAAAAATAGAAAGAAAAAGAATTGAAGAAATTAACGTCAGAGTGAACTAACAACAGTTAAGAGAATTGAAAAACATCGGCTTTTTTTTTCACTCGTCAATTAATCCAACTGCAGAACCCCTTTTTTTTTTCTTTGTTTTTCCACTGATAAACCACAACAAATCAAATATCGAAAAGGTGTGTATACACTGAATGAATATCTTTTGGCGCTTGAAGATCAGTAAACCAAACAAGGAAGAATTTTCGTAGACAACAATTCTCCAGAAACAAACATCAAATTGAACAAAGAAAAAAAGGAAAGACGACAGACAAACTTTAAAATTTAATTAGCATTATATAAAAGTTCCTCCTTCGCATACCATTAACAAAGAACAATAAAACTTTTTTTTCTACTTTCACCAAAAACTCAAAAATCATTGTCAAATTTCAAAAAGTTGCCTAAATTTGACTGCTAAG